GCCGGTGCTAGGATTTTTGCCTCCACAGGCGAAGGTGCATTTTTGCCCCCCCCCCCCGAACGCCCTCCCCCGACCCCCTGTAGTGCTGGGCCTGCTCCCTATCAGCATGAAAGCTGCATTTAGTAAAATAAGAAAAAAAGAAGGCTTTGTAAATAAAAAAAAGTGTGCTTGTGGGTCGAATGGTATTTGTGTGTATTTTAAGTTTTTGGCTGCTGTCCCCTTCCCCTCTTCCTCAATTCCCCCTCCTCCGCACACCATCCTCTTTTTTTCTTGTTTGTTCCTTTCAGCTTTGTTGTTTTAAATTGGGTTTGGGGCTCTGCGTAGTTTAAAAAAAATAAACATTTTTTCTTCACTTACCTTCGGTGCGGGAGAGCAGCGGCGAGTCAGCGCTGGTCCGGTGGGAGGAGCTCCAGGTGGGGTCCTAATTTAGCTGGCCGGCGACTGCCAGAGGTGCAGCGCGTGTCGGGATCCTCTGGCAGTCGCTGGCCAGCTAAATTAGGACCCCACCTGGAGCTCCTCCCAGTGGACCAGCGCTGACTCGCCGCTGCTCTCCCGCACCGAAGGTTATGCTTATTAGTGCTACAAATGGCTAGGAGGGACTAGCAATAGACTTTTTAATGAGGTTTGCAATAAAGTATTCAAACTGTTAGCAAGAGGTTTGTCACTTAGGGCCTGTTCATACCCTGTGCATTGATTGCCTAAGTGAATGTAACTATAAAAACATAATTAAATAAAACATTTTTTCATGTATGTTGGAAAACCCTGATTAAATACCACTAGTACCATCCATAATTCCACAATCCAAGTCTTCCTGTTCTTTTCTGACCAGGCTAACCACGGAAGCAGATCTGTGGTAGCGCGGTCACGTTGGATCCTTGCTCCTGGCTTTGGGACCTACAGAATGTTGTGCCGATACAAGCCATGCCCATGGCCCCATAGTCATTCTATGACATCACAGGCTGAAACACCCCCTCACAGGCCTGTATGCCCTGATTGAAAGACGGCCAGTGGCATCACTGGTAGCTCAGGGAGTAAGGGGGCCTAAAGCCATCATGCAATTACCTCTAAAAATAAACATCAAAGGTATTTAAAAGACATTGCTTAGGAAATTGTTACTACGGATTTTTCAAAGACAATGTGCTGAATGCTGGTATGCTTTTATAGCATAAAGAGGCCTTTCTCAACCTGGGTTACTTCAGGGGTTGCTAGAGCAATGAGCATTTTGTGACTCCTAGATATTTAACCAATGAGACCAATGATCTTTTTAGCCATCTGTATGTAGAACATTCTTCACAATGGCCACTTGTGAGGAGAATTCTCACCAATGATCACCAATGTGAGGAGCGTTCATCACAATGACCACTAATGTATGAAGAATGATCACCAATGTAAAGGGCATTTTTCCTAATGACCACCAGTGTATGGAGTCCCTTCTCCCACTGACCACCATCCTTATGTACCGTGAACTGTAGATGTAGTAATTATTGGCAGGGGTTTCAAGGATTATTTCAAACTTTCCTCCATGTTAACACGTTCGATAAAGGCTGACATAAACTGTATACAGTTTAACGTAGGCATAATGCGATAACAAGCCGAAATCCATTGTTTCCAAATGGCTCAGTTTATACAAGGCATGGCATGGATAATTATATCTTCAGGCTTTCAACACAGATGGTGATATCATCATCGTCTTCTTAAAGGCTCCTTTAGCCATGGCCCAAACCAGACCAGTAGCGTACTCCATGGTGGCACCTAAATGCACCATGATAAACCTCAGCACAATTAAGGGCGATAATATCTCATATGTGGAAGAATTGATCATGATAGGGCCATTCAAGGAACCCACTGGAGGAAATAGTAGAATATTTGATGGTTAGAAGGCAAAAACAGGTGATTGGCAGAAAATAAAGGTGGAATGACACTTTAATAAACGCAACTGGTCATTCTTGGGGCTTGCCAATATTATTCCTCTGGAGTGGGCTTTTTTACAAGAGTTGTGACTGACCTGCAGTGTGAGCTTCCCTAACAGCTTGACTGTTATATAGGACTCTTATAAATGTTGGTACATTCATATTCAGAATGTATTGTTAGCTATACAAAAACAGCCGAGTGGTGCTCACCTTACTAAAGAAGGCTTAAAACATTCTCTGCAGACGGTTGCCATTGAAAGGTCCAGGACTTGCATGTGTCCATGATACATGCTCATAAACAAACCAATATGCAGATTTGTGTCATTGGTCCCAGGGATGGTCACCCAACTACAGGAGGTGCCTGCACAAGGACCATCATAGCAGGATCACCAAGCATTATTTTAAATGGAAAAGGCAGATTTTAAAATATTACGGATGACTTCTGAAACATCATTAACATTTTCAATCTTATATGAGATTTTATGATTGGGCCTACATTAGTCATACTTTACATTCTTTCACCTTCTACCTATCACAGAGCAGCCACTCCTACTGCAAGGCTGATTGCAACTGTTAGCTGACTTGGGGCACCAAAGACACTTTTGAATAGAATATGGCTGAACTGAAAAAGGGATTTGCATCTAGAATTTAAGTGAATTCAGTGCATGTTGTGTATAGCTGGGCTTGTATAAATTCTAATTTTCCTACTTGGGAAGAAATAAAAATACCTGTTATGTCTTGGTAGGGGTAGCAGATGACTCTTTCCCCTTCCTCTAACTCCCTGGTGCCCAACCTGTGGCCCTGGGGTTGCATGCAGCCCTTTGGCACTTACTGTTTGGCCCTCGAGACCCCCACAGACTATAGCCTCTGTTTTGGTTCTTACTCAAGCCGGTGAAGGAGAAATATTCTTTAGTAGTTAGATGGATGAGTGTAGTTCTGTCATGCAATATTACTTTTTTCTCTGTTGTCCATCCCTTTCCTATTTTTATGTTTTTTATTCTCTGATTTTTTATTATGGATATTTCTGAGATAAATATCAACTGTGGCACCAGTAATTTTTAAGGGAACTGTACAGAGCACACACGTGGGAGCATGGATTTTTAGTGGAGCTGTAATAGTCCTGATCTCTAGCCATCGCATGTGATGCGTTCTGAATCATGTCCGCAGCCTCCATCAAATCCTCTAACATGAATGCAGTTTTAGATGTCTTTGTTTTAATATAAAATGTAATAATAATTGTGCATGAACCTTTAATAAAGTCAGGGGCTGCGTTTGAAGACCTCTAAATCAAGTAAGTTGACCACCACTGCTCTAACAGCACAGCTCTGTTGCTTGGTGATTGTCCCCGGTCCCACGGGTGTGGGAAGAGAGTCAATAGACATGTGTAAGCTCCAATGGTTGAGTTGTTTGGCAATAAACATGAATAGCAGTCATGTGAGAGCTTTATTAATCGATGTATACAAGTATCTGGATTGTGTTGATACAGATTCCACTGTTGTTACATTGATGACACAAGCAGCACCATCTTAAAACCTTTGTATAGACAGAACTGTTTTCAGGCCATCGGCACAGATGGTGCTATCTTCATCACCGTCTTCTTAAAGGAGTAGTAGTGTCCTTTAGCATGGTACCAGACCAGACCAGTAGCGTACTCCGTGGTGGTACCTTTCTGATATTTCCCATTTAGGTTGGCATTGTGACAGTTGTGGTACCAGAATGCTCCATGGAAGCTTGCTGCACGATTTATAGCGTCTAAATCTCTGTCATTGTCATACGTGGAAAATTTCATGCCAACATGACTACGTAGTGAATCTCCTGCCAAGCAAAAAGAAAACATTTAAAAGGCATATATCTTACCACTTATATGTGTAGCCCCTATCACCTTCTGTTGAGTGGCTACTAGAAATTTAGCTGTGCTAGGGCTGTAATCAGTCTAGCTGCATTATATTTGGTATTTATCTGGTGTATTCCAAGTGTTCTGCTATTGATTTTACCTACCTGAGTGGGGTGTGACCCTGCTGTAGTGTGGGGCAAACAATAGGGGAACATCATGAGTGTGTGTGACTCACCAGCCAATCACTAAGGGTTTCATAGCCAGTTGTGCATGCTGGGGGAGTACATATATACTCAGGGGAGTTGCCATATGTTCAGTCCTGTTCCAGCCTGCCCCCGAGCTTAGTCTGGTGGTGGGATGCTCAAGTAAGGAGAAGCTGACTACGCCTCAAGCCTGGAGGAGGCCTTACATGTGGACCCCAGAGAGGTCAGTGTCTGATTGAGGATGAGAACCAGAGAAACTGATGGCTAGTGGAGGTGCCTGATACTGGAATGGACCTCAGGAGTGAATCTGGTGTCTCTCCTATAGAAGATATCATGCCTATCCCTGTTCAGCTGTTGCTCAAATATCCAGTGTCAGCCTGTGCTCCTATTGATTCTGCACTGTGGAATACTGAAAGTGACTGGTGAGTCTGGAATTCTGTTCTATTTTGCCATGGATGTCCTAAGCCCTATACCCTCTCTTCCAGTTATGAAGTTTTACAATAAAGCATTTAAGCGCTTAAAGTGACTGGCGCCCAACTTTCTTGATCACACACCCCTTCACTGGCCTAAGATCTGCCCCTTAGAGTGAAATTTCAGCCCTCTCTGCCCTTTGGGGGTCAGGGGGGTGTAACATACGTATAAAAATGTCACACTCCTAAAGTGGTTAAAACCAAGATCATGTCTGCTACTGTTTGCAGCCAGCACCCGGCATTCCCATGCACGTATATGGGTGGCTGTAGAAGTCTGGACGGGCCCTTAAAATGCAAATATTAAAATAGGTGGATGTCAGTCTGGAGGTGTGGCTATTTCTAAGCAGACTGCGTTTGCATGCAGACAGCCCTAGGCACTGCCCACATGTGATGCTGAGCCTCCATGACTGAAAGACCAGAAATCACTCTCTTATATTCAATCAAAATGGAATAAAATGGCTTTAGAAGTCACTTGAACTGTATGTCTGGTGATCTCCACAATGAAGGTTAAGAGAACACACTCCTTCCAGCCAGTGTTCTGGTGGAAATGTATCCTAATAATTATTGAGCGCTATGTAAGAAAACACTAACAATGTACAATGTGAACATGATAAAGGTATTTTCCATACCAGCAGGTCTGACTGGATCACCCTCTGTAAACCCCTCGATGTTCAGTTTGTAGCCGTCTTCCTCGGGATTGATGGCCAGCTGAGACAGAGAGAAGTTTTCATAGGTCACATTATACCTGACATTGTCCCAATCCTCCAGGTCAATCCTGAGACGATAGGATTTCTTCAGGGTTAGGAGGTAAATGTTCTGCAGACCTGAAGGGGAAAACTACAAGTTGTTAACTTGAGAAATGTGGTGTCTACCTGTCCTGGGCTTTGATGTATCATCCTGGAAATGCATGGCTACAATATAGTATACATTATATGGCCAACAGTATCCCTCTCGATGATTCTGGTGTTTTCGGTAAAGGAGACAGCTAATACTACAGCATACAAAGACATTTTAGACAATCGTGGTCTTCCAACCTTGTGGTAACAGTTTGGGCATGACTGTGCCCTGTGTACAAAGCCATCTCCATAAAGACAAGGTTTGACCAGATTGGTGTGGAGGACGTTGAGGGGTCTGTACAAAGTCCTGACCTCAACCCTACTGAACTCCTCTGGGATGCACTGGCAAGCCAGGTCTTCTCATCCAACATCAGTACTGCATCTCACAAATTATGTTTTGACACAAATTCACACAGGCACACACCAAAGTTTTGAGTGCAAACTGTTATACACAAAGGGGAGGATGTGTCAACTCCATATTTATGGCCATGGTTTTGGAATGGGGTATCCAACAAGTTAATCTAAGTATGATGGTCATGTGCCCACAAACCTTTAAAGGAGAATTATGAGGCAAGTGATTTTCACCTTTCACCATATAGTCTATCTTAAGGCTCTGACAGCACCTAATTTAAAATGTATCATTTTGTAGGCCTAGGATTTCCAACTCCACCCAGCTGACTGCAATTTTATTGTGCATGACCGTAATCTTCCATGTCTGAAAAAGTAATACTGTCTGGGAGATGTAGATCTAAGAGAATTATCTGTGTCAGATGATTTATGTTGCACTTTACGGGAGATGTGGTAACAGTCCCGTAAAGTGCTGAAGTCTTTACCCAACCAGTGCTCTCCATCCATTCTTCCAAATCCAGCTTTATACTCTTTCCAACCTCGATAAAAGTTCACCGTTCCATCAAACCTCTTCTGAAAGACCTGCAATTATATTTATATGTTAATGGACATTACATTGTATGTCAAACCAAAACTGTTTTTTTAGTTTTCGATAGACTAAGAAAGGTTTAGAACCCATGTTGTATTTTTCTGCTGTCCGGGGCTCTTTTAGAAAGATTTCTCCTCACTCATTATCATTCAATACTCTTATGTTTTTGACCTTCTCAAACAAGACATATAACATTATAATAATAATTAACATTCCATGGTGATTGGATTGAGGTGACTGGGTTCCCATGTGGCTCTAATTACTAAAAACAGTGCAACCCTTCTCACCACTGTGGGGGAGTGCTCGGCTTACAGTGACACCCTGTAAGAGCTCAATTAAGAAACAGCCAATAAACCTTCAATATTTTATGAGGCCATTAAAAAATAAAAAAATAAATCATAATCAGCCTGGCGAATTGTTTTCTTTATTCTTCTGCCACAATTTATGCACTATGACCTCAATAAATATTTGAAGTTCATTGGAGGTGTACCGGCTACAAAAGCTGGGGTTTGTTTCTCGAACTCATTAGCAATGAGGAAGATAACATTATAGAACAAGTCCAGTTGAGTGTGAAGAACCACTACTAGTTATACCATGACCGGGATAAATGAAAACCTTCACAGACATAAAACACAGTCGCCACATTTCATAGTAGTTGGGAGGATGATAATGGTTAGGATCAGAGTTGGGTTAGTGAGTACTTACAGTCCAGGGTCCATCATTTCCGGTCATATCACAGTACACGGGTATGGGGGTGGAGAGTCCCCCGGGGAAGATGAGATATACTCCATCTCTGTGCAGACCTTGAGCGAACACTTCCGAGCAGTCATGGGGGCGACAGCTATCAAAACAAATATTAACTAGAAAAAAAAAACAAGGGGAGCATTAAAGTGGACCTGAACTCAAGAAGTGAAGACTTGCGGTGTTATATGGAATATCTCAAAAGGTTTATTGTTCCTCAGCAGAACCCTGAAACATTTTCCTGAGAAACAGAAAGCTCTTCCTGGTAGGTATTTTTTGCTTTACATACACTTCACATACAACAATATCTCCCCCTGAGATACTGTAGGGGTTTCATCTATAATTAGCAAATGTAATAGGAAAAATAGGCTGTATTAGGCTGGATTTGGACTCTAAAACGTAACAAGCAAAGACAATAAATGATTGTGGGTGTCGGGTTGTACGAGATCATTTATTCTAATCGATATTTTAAGATAGCAAATGTTTAAAGCAGACTACTAGCTAATGTAACAAAAACTAAATCATAAATATCTACTTTCACGTACTGTTATCTTGGTTCCCTGGCACCTCTTCTGCAGCCTGGCAGCCTCCATGTATAATATGGAACAGAGTGAAGAGGGTGAGAGAGATCCACATCTTCCACCTGGTGAGAAAAGACATGTTTAGTGTTTTCTTACCCAGAGTTTTATGATGGCTATGATAGCTGTTAGTGAACTGCAAGTCTCAGCAGTCTCTGAATTTTTCTTTCCAAAACCTAAGGGCCCTATTGCAAAATCTACACTATATCCTATACCTATTGTAAAACAAAACACAGGAGGTGAGATAGACAGCTAGCTCTGCCCTACTTCTCACCTCTTGGGCTGTCACGGGGAGTCAGCAGGTCTTGTGACCCTTGGCCACCTAGAGGAGCCAAGAGCCAAGTGTGTGGACATTTGCTGTTGACTTGTGTCCATTGTAATGACAGCAACATGAACAGGTATAACTGTAAATACTCACAGAAAGCACAGGAGAGCTTCCTTTAAATTTGTGTCTTGCAGCTTTCTTGAGACTCTATGAGTGCGGTGGTTTGTTGGGTTGTGTCTTGGTCCTGGGTCTGAGGCAGTCAGTATGTTGGGTCGTATCTTGATCCTTTTTCTGAGTCAGTCAGTATGTTGGGTTGTGTCTTGATCTTTTTTCTGAGTCAGTCTGTATGTTGGGTCGTGTCTTGGTTCTGGAGAGTAGCTGCTGACACATGTTATTTATACGCTGTGATCTTGTACGTCACAATAGGACTTTGATTGGGGCAGCACACCTTGAGAAACTGTATCCTTTCTCCAGATATTTGACTTCCCTGTTACATCCATGTCCTGTTTACCCTGATGTGCACATGAAAGGACAAGAAAACGTTGCAGAATTATATTCACAATTAAAACAAAAGACATGTTTTAAGTTACTGATCAACAATGGAATGTTTTTTTCCACAAGCCCGTACAACGCTCCATTAGCACCAAAATGCAGAAAACATCATACAAATTGCTGAACCACTGCTATCTTATTTCGAGTACGCTATACAGTATACTTCGGCTCAGCTTTGTGTTGGACTTGCTCCAAAGAAAAAATAACTACCCTCTACATCTGGTAAGAATGTGACTGAATTAAACCTTTTTTGGGATTTGTTCACAGAAAGACTCGCCAACATTTTAACATTTCAGAGTTATCCGAAAACCTTGTCTTCTACACTTGAGAGACCAACTCACCCAAATATAAGAATTCTCTTACTCTACTCCTAAGACTTCTGCAAGGGTCCTAATCTCCTTTCATTGGAAATTCTAACCTAACACCGTACTGGAATGGGCCAACAAAAACAACTCTGTTTAGGAGATGGAAGAGGAGAGAGCCACTGACTCAGGCACATTGACACATTTTCTTTCCACCCGGTCGGCTTGGGCTCTCTTCTTTTGCTCAGACAAATTCAAATCACTCATTGGATGTTGTTGATATCTTTACTATCAAACAGGGAGTCCCTCCATTACCGCTATCTCATACCACAGACCCCACAAATGAGCCCTTAAGTTCCAATGGGCAATGTGCTCTCTCATCCTCACCAGACTTGTCCCTCACCTACCTAAATTCCCCTTCCTCAGACACTTTTTACCCCTTCTTCTTCTTCTTGCTTTCTATCTTCCTCTTTGTTTTTTCATTCTTCTGGCTGATCTCCTCCTTTATCCAATACTCTACTAATCCTTTGGAGTGATTATCCATTTCCTCTATTGCTCCCCAGTGGTTACATTATACACATTTTCATCTACCAGCAGGGTAAAGAACCTGATACTCAGACATCCTTAGATCCTTCATTCCCTACTCTAAGCAAGACTCCACATTCCCCACTCCAGAAACATACTAGGGTGGCCATCAAACCAGAACTAAACTATTTATTTTATTGTTGACAAGCAAGTGATTAGATTACATTATTGCTTTATCCCCTGCAATGGCCTTCTGTCCTGAACCAGATTGATGTATCACCTTGAAGCGTAATAAATGATTCCAGTTAATATGGTTGTAAATGTAAAACTGCTACTGTATTTCTTGTCCTGTATATTTACTTCCTTTCTATTAAAACACAATTGGAAAGAACATGTTTTAAAAATCCTTGTAACTATGTACCAAATTTTGTGCAGCAGGGTCTACTTTAAAATGAACTTTTTAGTAAATATACAATCCTGCCCTAATAAATTCGGGACACATAAATACAACAACAGGATGATTTTTTTCAGACAAGCTCCACCTTTTATCATTAAAAAACTGTCCTTGAGCTTCAGTTGGTAAATTTACCTAGGCTGAAATTATGTCATCAGTCTGCTGCAGGCAGGAAGAAGCATTTCCCTAGTCTCTCCTCGCCCAGTGATCAGACTGCAACATTGTAACTTTGTATCAAGTCACAAAACAAGAAGCTGCAGCAGGGGCTGGTCCGGGTGTTTCTGGCATCAAGGCCCCCAAGTACCTCTTAGACCGGCTGCCATTTTAAATAGGTGGTGGGGACTCAAGCGGGTAATATGTATATATTCCATCTTATTACTATGTCATAGCTTGGACATCTAGTGGGAAATTAAAATCGGGACCCTATTGTTAGAGAAAATGTTTAACTGCTTTGTAGTCCTGCTAAAGGGCCCCTCAGAAATCCAAAATGTTATGATCACTGTAATGAATAACTGTTATTTGTGCTGTCAGCCATAACTTGGCAGTCTCCTTGTCTGCAAACCTTGAGATATCACCCTGAGGGCTGTGTTGGGGTCCATTGCACACTTTGGACCTGGCTTAAAAAGAGCTGCCAGATTGTGATACCCACCTACACTGGGGTCCGACACTCCATCATTCCACTTCTTCAAATGAATCCACTGCACCTCCCATTTCTTTGTCAATCTCACCTCCTCTGGTATCCTCGTGTCTTCCTTATAATACTCAGAAATGAATACAGTGGGTGTCAAATTTCAATGTAATCCCTATGTGTCGACTGATAGGTGTAGATAGGACTCCATTAGAGATCAAATATATGAGGTCATAGATTCTGCGACATAGCTGATGTTTCATCTTGCCTACATAAGAAGAGCCACACTGGTATGTCATTAGATACTACCACAGTGGAGGAACAATCTGCATAGAGCCGCAATTTAAACCTTTCACCATTGGGGAGAATGTGTCATCGAGCTTTATGGCGAAGCACAAGTTTGCATGAAATGCATAAGAGAAGCTCTCCTGTGGTTTTTCCTGGAATGCCTTTATGATCACAACTATTAGAAGCCACAATTGATTTTTGGAATGCCACCATCCTTCATTTCTGTTATATATAATCTGTTTCTTGGGGTATCTTCAATGGCTTCTGAAAAGCTTTTTTCAAACATGTCTTACCATAGATCCAGGTTAATAATCTCCATTTCAGGGCCTTTGCTTCCCTCTAGAAGCTAACATCCTCCAAGCAGTTGCATCTTATTATTATTATTATTATACAGGATTTATATGGCGCCAATAGTTTGCACAGCGCTTTACAATATAAGGAAGACATTACAGTTATCCCCAGGTATTGGCTTTATGGAATTAATTGAATCAATGGTGTGGGATGGAAACTACAGGATTGCAAGATAGTATTGCCTGCTGTTTTTTTTGATGATATGGATTAGAATGGGAGTGTCATCCTATTGTATTACCACATCTCCATCAAGGAACGGAATCTTAAACACATGTAAATGAGAATCTTAGCCTGGAATGATTCAAACATTTCACAAACTCTTCAAATAAAAATGTTGTTGCTATCCCAAATGATGAACACATCGTCAATGTACCTGTGCCACCCCCTTGTGACTGGCCTCTGTCATATGGGGGCTTGGAGGGAGTCATTGGACACGTGTAAGACCCAAATCATGGAATTGTTTGTCAATAAACATGAATAGTAGTCACGTGAGAGTTTTTATAATTGATTTATACATGTAACTGGGTGGTGTTGATACAGATTCTACTGTTGTTACAATGATGACACAAGCGGCACCATCTTATAACCTTTGCACAGACTGATCTGTCTTCAGGCTGCCGGCACAGATGGCGCTATCTTCATCACTGATTTCTTAAAGGAGTAGTAGTATCCTTTAGCAGTGCTCCAGACCACACCAGTAGCGTACTCCGTGGTGGTACCTTTCTGATATTTCCCATTTAGGTTTGCATAGTGACATTGATTGTACCAGAACGCACCGTGATAAGTCTGTGCACAGTTGGTGCTCCATAGATCTCTGTCAGAGTCATATGTGGAAAATGTCATGCCATCGTGATAGATCATGGAATCTCCTGCAGGCAAAAGCACAAAGTTTAAAAAACATATTTAAAGGGGCAGAGTGGTTCTGACTGAGCCAATTCCAGTTCATCATTTGATGGAAAAAAAGGTGCAAACTTCCCTTCAGTGCTCAGTACAAGCCAAGATGATCAGAAGAGATACAGACAAGCCAATTGAAACTTTTTCTGTAGCCCCTTCAAACTCTATGGGGTATTCATAAAAACTGGAGCAGACAAAATCTGAAAAGGTTGCTGTTCATGGCAACCAATCAGCTTCTATCTTTCATTTTCAGAGTTTGTCTCTCTTCAGTTTAACTGAACAAACTGAAGAGAGAAGCTGATTAGTTGCCAGAATAAAACTGTCTGCTCCAGTTTTTATGTATTCCCCCCTATGTGTGGTAGACTTGTGCGCCGTCAAAAAATTTGTTCTGTTTCGTTTCGGAATATCCGTTATTTCGTATTTCGTAATTCGTGTCCGGAACTCAATTCGGATTCGTAGGAAATACGAATTTTCGTTAGTGGCGGTTATATTTTCGTAACTCTACGAACATTCGTCATGGTGAAGTTAAAAAGCAAAATACCTTTGTTAATATTGGAGTCGATGTGGTAGTTGTTTTTTTTATCCGAAATACGAATTCCGTTAACGGATTCCGTATCCGAATTTCGTATTTCGGATTAAAAAAAAACTACCATTAGCCATCAACTCCAATATATTAACAAAGGTATTTTGCTTTTTAACTTCAATATATAACGAATGTTCGTAACGGAAGGAAATTTCGTTAACGGAATTTCGTATTTCGGATATAATTCAGAAACTGCAATTCGGATTTCGGATGTTTCCGAATTTCAGGAAAATTCGTACGAATTTTCCTGAAATTCGGAAACATCCGAAATCCGAATTGCAGTTTCTGAATTATATCCGAAATACGAAATTCGGATACGGAATCCGGTAACGGAATTCGTATTTCGGATATAATTCAGAAACTGCAATTCGGATTTCGGATGTTTCCGAATTTCAGGAAAATTCGTACGAATTTCGATTCGTAACGAAACGAATCGCACATGTCTAATGTGTGGTACACTGTGGTGCAACTATCTGATATTGCTCCACCAATGCATTGTACAGGAGAGGCCAACACACAACGTACCTAATGTTCTCTGTGATGCACTGCGTTGTAAGAAATGGCCATGTGCACTTTCTTGGCTGTTGTACATTGGCATAATAAATGCCCTGCCTTAATGCAATGCATGTGAATTCATGGTGTAATGCGTGTTAATACGTCATTTCCAATTTCTGCAACAGGGAATTAGGGGGGCAGGAAGTAATGAGAAACCCCTCCAAGATCATGACAAAAATAATGTATTTTTATGAGAGTATGCGTGTGTGGGTGGGGGGGTGCTGTTAGAACCCCTGTGATGCATTTATTGATGTCTGTGGCAACATTTCCTAAAGACACTCATTTCCCTCATTTCTTGTCAAAGTGTCTCAGGGAGAGGAGATGATCCTTCCAACCATTGGCAGAGTAATTAAATACTGCCAGAGGATCTAACTCTTCCATTTCCAGGCAAAATGGAAATTTTTTTTACTTTAAAGTTGAAATCTATGCAACAAAAAAATGGGGTTCCCTTCCTCATTAGAAGTTACTTGTATCTGGTGACCTCTACAATGAAGATAAAAAGAAAACACTCCGTGCAGTCAATGTTCTGGTGAAAACGTCTCCCAATAATTGTTGAACCCCATATGAGGAAACAGTAACAATGTAGACTGTAAACATAATAAAGGTATTTTCCATACCCATAGGTTTTTCTGGATCACCCTCAGTAAAGCCCCTGATGTACAATTTGTAGCCGTCTTCCTCGGGGTTAATTGACAGGTGGGACACAGAAAAGTTTTCATAAGTCACATAATTAGTGACATTGTCCCAATGCTCCAGGTCAATCCTGATACGATAGGACTTCTTCAGGGTTAGGAGGTGGATATTCTGTAGACCTGAAGAAGAAAAACTACAAGCAGTTAATCTGAGAAATGTGGTCTGACAAAGTGGAGACCCAGTCTACCTGTCCAGGGCTTTCATATATCATCCTGAAAATGCATGACTACATTTGGTTGAAAGTACAATATATGGCTAACAGGTATCAAAAGTATGATCCCTCCCATTGTTTGAATTCAGGTGTTACTATTGAGGGGTACTTCTAATACTACAGCATACAAAGACTTTTTAGACAATTGTGGTAACTGTGTGGGGAAGGCCCTTTTTTCATAAAGACGTGGCTTGATGAGTTTGGTGCATAGAAACCCAAGTGTCCTGCACAGAGCCCTGACTTCAATCCTACTGAACACATTTGGGATGAACCAGCTATCTGGATACCCAGCCTACCTGTCCAGAGCTTTCATTTATCATCCTTGAAATGCATGAGTACATTTGGTTGAAGACACGCTATATGGCCAACAGTACCAAAAGTATTATCCCCCTGATGTTTGAGTTTGGGTGTTTTTAATGAAGAGTATTGCTGATGCTACAGGTCCATAATGACATGACTTGATGAGTTTGGTGTAGAGGAGCTCAAGAGGGCTGTACAGAGCCCTGACCACAGCCTTACTGAACCACAGGATATATTGGAGTACCAATGGCAAGCCATGGCTTCTTGCCCAACTTGGGTTGTTAACTCCATATTAATGGCCATGGTTTTTGAATGGAATGTCCAACAAACACATATAGATGTGATGGTCAGTTGTCCTCAATCGTTTAACCATATAGCCTGAGGGTCCTGACAGCACTTAATTCAAAATGTATGATATTGTAGGCCTAGGATTCCCAGCTCCACCCACCTGTCTGCAATCCTATTGTACATGATCATAATCTTCTACCGTACTGAGATCTGCAGACGTAATATTTTCTGAGAGATGTAGATGTAACATATATATAATTATCTGTGTGAGCTGATTTATGTTGCATTTTACGGGACATAACAGATTAAGTCTGAAGTCTTTACCCAACCAGTACTCTCCATCCGCTCTTCCAAATCCAGCTTTATACTCCTGCCAACCTCGATAAAAGTTTACCGTTCCATCAAACCTCTTCTGAAAGACCTGCAATTACACAATTTACTCGTTAATGGGCATTAAAGTGTATGTTGAGCCAAAACGTATTTTTCTTTTTAGTTTCAGATAGACTGGGGGAGGATAGGATTCCCAGTTGGGTTTTTCTGCTATTCAGGGTTCTTTTAGAGAGATTTCCCCTCACTTCCTGTCTTGCTGACAGCGATTTCACCAGACAGGAAGTGAGGGGACATGTGCAACAGGGACACAGACAGGTATTAAAATCTGTCAGGGGATCAGCCTTCCTCTATCCTGCCATAGTTACTGTATGATAAAACATTGTCAGTAGAACAGAAAGTGATCTCTCGAATCCCAGATAGCAGTAGAAATCTGACAGGGGTTCAAATTAGAGGTGCACCGATACCATTTTTTCCAGAACTAGTACCGATACTTTTCCTCAAGTACTCGCAGATTCCAATTCCTGATACCTTTTTTTTTAGTGTCATGTGACAGTTTTTCTAAAACAATACAGATGAATGATTTTAGGACAGTGGTGGAGCGCCAGGCCCGGTCCCAGCTGTGACCCTGGTAGTTCTGCCACTGACTCCAAGCTGTAGAATACATTATACAGCAATGCAGAATACCACCAGCGATAAAGGACAACAAATCCAAGGAATACATTATGCAGCAATGCAGAATAATACCATCAGCGTTAGAGGACTAAAAATGTCAGCAATACATTATACACCAATGCAGAATGGCACTGACTATAAAGGACTACATATCCCAGCAATACATTATACAACAATGCAGAATGGCACCGGCTATAGAGGACTACATATCCCAGCAATACATTATACAGCAATGCCGAATGGCACCAGCCATAGAGGACTACAAATCTCAGCAATACATTATACAGCAATGCAGAATAAAACACTTGGTGAACTTGTTTACTCTTCTGCCACATTTGCTGCACTATGACCTCATTAACCATTTGAGGGTTGGTTGAATGTGTACCAGCTATAAATGCCGGGGTATGTTCCTGGCACTCATTAGCAATGAGGAAGATAACAAAAGAACACAAGTCCAGTTGAGTGTGAAGTACTACTACTAGCTATACCATGACCGGGATAAATGAGAACCTTCACAGACATACAACACAGTCAACACATTTCAGAGTAGTGGAGAGGATGATAATGGTTAGGATCGGAGTTGGGTGATTGAGTACTCACAGTCCAGGGTCCATCTTTTCCAGTCATATCACAGTACACAGGAATGGGGGTGGACAGTCCCCCGGGGTAGATGAGATATACTCCATCTGTCTTCAGACCTTGAGCCCACACATCGGAGCAGTCGTGGGGGTGACAGCTATCAGAACAAATATTAACTGGAAACAGAAGATGCAAGAAGCATGAAAGTGGACCGGAACCCAAAGGTGAAGACTTGCTAAGTTAATGGAACATCTACAGTAGAAACATTTATGGTGCCTAAAATGAATAAAAACAGAAAGCTCCACCTGGTTTGTCATTTTGGCTTTACATACACATTACATAAGATCTCCCCTGAGATACTGTACAGGCTTCATCTATAAATATGAAATGTGATAGCAAAAAAAACATAACAAGTAGAGACAACAAATGATGGTGGGTGTCGGGTTTTAGGACATCAGTTCCTTAGCATGTGGTCTATTAAATATTTGGAGGAGACTGCTAGCATGTGTAATAAAGACCATATATTTAACATCTAATTTCCCATACTGTTATATTGGTTCCTTGGCACCTCTTCAGCAGCATGGCAGGCTCTGTGTATAATGAGGAACAGAGTGAAGGGGGTGAGAGAGATCCACATCTTCCACCTGCTGAGAAAAGACATGATTAGTTGTTTGTTTTTTCCACCCCAAGGCCTAAAACATCTTTTCTCATTTTCAACATTTTCTTTATAATTTTCCACCCATAACCCATAACCCATGATCTTTATCATCACAATATTCCAGCCATCATCCTCCATTTCTACCTCTCTAAATTCTCTTATTGCTTATTCTCAGTTTTGTACTCTCTTAATTCTAATTGTTCTCTCATGGACATTATCTCTAAAGCTAAAACCCACGCCCAACATGTTTTGCCATTTTTATGGCTTCTTCAAGGGCACTCAAGTGCATATCACGTGCAAACAACAGTGCTCAAAGTGCTCGTTGGAAAAACCAAACAACATGGCAATGATAGCAGTTAGCAAACTACACAACTCAGCTTTTCCCCCAAAAAATGAGGTCTTACACACCTAAAGGCCCTATTGAAAAAACTACTCTATACGCCATAGCTGTTGTATAACAAAAACCCAGAGGGACACCTAGCTCTGCTCTCCTTCCCCCTTTCATGGGTTATCACAGAGTGTCAGCAGGTCTTGTGACTCTTGCCCACCTATAGCAGCCAAGAGCCAAAAGTGTACAGACATGCTCTGTTGAATTGCGTCAATTTTAATGTCAGCCAAAATTAACAGGAATAACTGGAAATATTCACAGAAAGCACAGCACAGTTTCCTTTAAATTCTCATCTTGCAACTTACATGAGACTCAATGAGTCAGGCAGTGTGTTGGGTTGTGTCCTGGTCCGAAGGCAGCCGGTATGTTGGGTCGTGTCCTGGTTCTGAGGCAGCCGGTATGTCAGGTTGTGTCCTGGTTCTGTTGTGCTGACACACACGTTATATATATATATATATATATACAGTGTGTTTCTTTACATCAACATCAGACTTTCCAGATATTTGACTTCCTTGTACTTGTTCTTGACCTTCATGTCCTGTTTACTCTGATGAGCATATGAAGGGACAAGATAAAGCTGCAGAATTCAATTTACAATGAAATAAAATACAATGTTTTAAATTTACTGATCAACGATAGAATTGTGCATGCCGAGAAGCCTGGGAAATGCTCCATTAGCACAAAAATTCAGGAAACGTTGCTGACCCACTAGTATCTTAAAGGGTTTCTAAACCCTCCGTTTTTTTTGCCTATATCTACGGCTATCAAGCAGTAAATATGGGCAAAAGGTTTTTTTAAAAAAACGCTTTAACAGCGGTTTAAACACACCCTGTTTTCTGAAACTCCGAAACTGCTCGGGCGGCCGCTAAGCATCTTGGTGCGGGCGCATGCGCAGTTGGATTTTCGGCCGGGAGACGAGCAGAGACGCAATGTAGGTCTATGGACGCATGCACCCGCATGGGACAGATGAAAGGACAGTAAAGAAGAAGAAGATGACTTTAAAGGATATCCCCCCGCCCCTATGCTAGTGTAAGGACTAACCTTAAATGATGTCTCTTGATCCGATTATCATCTTCCTTCTTGTAGTTTTCAGGAGTCCCTCCAGCGCTGGTGCCGGTCTCTGATCCAGCGCTGACTGCTGTGTCTTCCTGTCCCACGGAGTCTGTGCGGGTGCGCACTGCTGGGCTGCGTGCATTGACTTACCTTGTGTCTCTGCTCGTCTCCTGGCCGAAGATCTGTACTGAGGATGCGCCCGCCGCCCAAATTCTTTGTGGCCGCCTGAGATTTTTCAGATCTTCGGACGGGAGCGCGAGGCGGAGACACAGGTACGTTTTAACCTTTTTCGTCATTTTTTTTTGTTTTTATGTTTTTGCATATATCTCCTGCTTGCTAGCAGACTCACCTAATTGCATGTTTTACATACTAACTGGCTGGATGAGCAACATGTCTGTACATTCTGCAGCAATTTTACCAGTGAGGCAGTGATGCGTACAAAGCAGGCGTCTATCAATGCAGGCAAATTCTTGCCAGCAACAGGGTCACTAGTGCGACGTGATCCTAAAAGTAGAAAACCTCATTCAATAATTTTGGTGAAATACTTTTTTTAAATGCATACATTATAAGCAGGGTCGGGTTTAGTAGGCATATACCTAATAGGTGGCAGAGGGAAGAGGTGGCTTGTCCCTGTATAGTTCTGGCTACAGATGTATTCCAATGATCAGCAATAATAAAGTGTTTGTCTATGAATTTGCATACACATTGTAACAATACAATAAACCAGATGAGACTATCTAAGAAGGAAACTGACACTTATCATTCCTCCTCTATCACTCAGCGCCTATCTTTGGACCTTGGGTTGTTGCTTTTGCTGTTCTCAGCTCCTGTTATTGCACTCCTATCACCTCTCAACCAGAATCAGCTTGAGTATTATTTTCAGAAAATATGTCAGGTATTATTTTCTAGTCTGCTATATGAACATTTCATGAGAGATTACCCGTATTTATTGGCTACATTTTTATATATGTATTTGTTTTATTTGTCATTTTTGTATCTTTTTTTGTATTTTTTTTCATAACTATATCTTAAAGTATTTTGGTAGGCAATTTTTTTTTTTTAATGCTGACCAAAATAGATTTCTTATATTTCTTAATATAAAACTGCTGTACACTACCCTTTAGCCCTCATTCACACTAGAAAAGGCCGGCAGGTACAGCTCCGTGCTGCGTGCGCTGCCGTATCAGGTAGCTTACTTGCGAGGTGCTGCGTGTTATTTTTAATTTTTTTATTTATAAATTCTTTATTTAGACAATTTTCAAATGAGTACAAGATACTTAGAAAAGTTGTTGCAAGAAATAAACAGTAAACATGCACAAACGCAGGTGTGGAATAACAGGGGTAACGTAGTGATTGCAAATACAGTATGTGACTTTATATGCAAATGATAACAAAATGAAGCAAGGGGTAGAGAGAGAGAGGATGAGAGTCATTACGCAGGCGGGTTGCGGTGTCATCTTGAAGGGTCTGCGTGGATCAAGTAGCACACTGGTAGGGGGCGCCCACTCGTGGTGTAAGGTGTCTGGGAGATTCGCTGGGGAGGGGTCAGGTGGGAGTGCAAGGGGTGAAGGTGTAGAGTAAGAAGTTGTGGGGTCTGCTTGGGTGGAAGGCGTGGGGAGAGGGGGCAGAAAAAGAGGGGGGAGATCAGGTCACAGATGGGCGGGTCTGTGCTGCGTGTTATTAGTACGCAGCCCCTGTCCTTCTCTATGGGACTATGCGGCCATATGCCGCCCTACGCTCGCCCGTCCTGCCCGTCAGTGCGGGGGTCGGTCGCTGCCAGGATGGATCATGTCTTCGCCCGAGCCAGGAAACACGCACCCGTGTGGACCTTGCGCTTGGGGTGAGCGTAGGGTGGAATACGCAGCACGGAGCTGTACGTGCCGGCCTTTTCTAGTGTGAATGAGGGCTTAAAGTGTATTTCCACCTTTGTAGTCAAATTAGAAAACTCCGTTGTATGTTTGTTATGCATTCTCACTCACACACAGGAAATAAATACAAGATACAATGTTACAATTCAAGAGATGAACATAACAATGCTTACACTGATTCACTCATTCCCTCCAGTGCTCTCTAGAATTGTAACAATGTATCTGCTTACTAAGATGTAGTTATTTCCTACGATCCTCAGCTCCATCGAGTGTCCATAATATGGCATTTTCCTCATTCACTCTGTTTTTTTATGAATAAACCCACTAAAGAAAGTTCGACCAAAAGAGAAATTACACTAAGTAGATTTGCTTTTGCCCCATTCTTACAATGGCTGGGTAACTCTTACAAAATTAATGTTCAGGTGAAACTCGAATAATTAGAATATCGTGCAAAAGTAATTGCAGTAAGTGCTGCAAAAAGGGGCCAAACCAAGTACTGAGTACATATGCATGCTTGTGCTTTTCAGAGGTCCGATATTGTTCTATGTACAATCCTTGTTTTATTGATTGCATGTAATAATCTACTTTTTTGAGGTTGTGGATTTGGGGTTCTTGGGGTTTTCATGAGCTGTAAGCCATAATCATCACAATGATGACAAATCACGGCTTGAATTATCTTGCTTTGCATGTAATGAGTCTATCTCATATA